GGCTGAGCTGGGCTGGGCAGGTCTGGGCTGAGCTGGTCTGAGCCAGGTTGTGCTGGGCTGGGCAGGGCTGTGCTGGGCTGGGCTAGACTGGCCTGGATTTGATGAGGCAGGACTGGTCTGGGCTGAGCTGGGTGGGCAAGGCCGGCCTGGCCGGGGGCACACTGCCCAGCCACCCTGCGCCCAGCTAAGGGCTCACCTTCACGGCCGTGTTCAGGAGCCGATCCTTCTGTTCCAGCTGTCTGCGCTCACTCTTCAGTTCACTGCTCCTTTTTAGGAGCTTTCTCTTCTCCTCTTCTTTGACTAGGAGACAAGAAGCCCCCATCCCGGCCCCAGGGTCAGGCACAGGCTCGGGAAGGAGGGCAGGCTGGCAGGACACCTCTCGCCATCCTGCCTCGCTGGTCCCAAGTCATGGGAATGGGGCAGTGCCCTTTGGGATAAGCTCCCACTCCCCCAGCTCTGGGTCCCTAAGTAACTGGAGCAGGGCTGTTGAAGGCACAGAATCCCAGCTGTGGGTCTGCAGGCATAGTTTTCCATCTCTCTGAACCTCAGTTTCCTCCTCTGTAAAATGGGGGGAAGGTTGGCCCTCCCCTAATCCTTCTGTCCCTAAATGCTGGCTGATGGGATCAGATCACTGGCCTCAACTGGCCTCAGTGGCTATTTGGTACAAGGAGAAGAAAACTGAGGCCCAGAGTGGGGAAGGGCCTTACCCAAGGCCCCACAAAATAGGTGATGATGGTTTCTAATGCACTCACTACCCTGTGGCCCTTCCCTTCAGCCCCTCTGCCCAAAGACAATGGCCCAGGCTGGGGCAAAGAGAAGTCCTGGGTTTGAATCTCAGCCCTGCCACCTCCTTACTAGCCATGAGGGTCAGCATTCTTCCCTGTAATATGGGGCCACCCATGACCACATTATCATGAATCCTTCCAGGAGAGGGCAAAGTCAGAGATATAGAGGGAGCCTGGGCTGGGAGTCAGGGCTCCTGAGGCGAACGTGTGGGCCTCAGTCTTCCTCTGTCCTGTGAGGAGCAGGCAGCACAGTGCTCTGGGCAAGGAGGGAGCTCTGGACTCAGAGGCAGGAGGCCCTGGCTCTGCATGGGACTCCCAGCTTTGCCCCAAGAGCTCCTGCAGGTTCCGTCCCCTCCCTAAGAGCCCTGGCGGCCCCTGAGGCCCCTGACGGTCTGGAGTCTGTGACCCAACAGACCATTAGCCTTGTCCTCACTGTTCCAAGGCTAGCTCCTTGCCTGCAGCCCTGGCAGAGGGGTCCAGACCCCAGGGGCACCTGGAGGAGCACTGAGGCAGGAGGCAGGGGCCAGGCAGTCCCCAGACCTGGTAGCACTCGCCCCTTCTCTGACCATGGCTCAGTCACGTCCAGCGAGACCCCTACCTGTTTTGTGGGTGACATAGGAGTGAACAATGGCTAACATCCCCGTCCAGGGCACAGTTTCATCTTTGTTCAACACCTGGAAGAGAGAGGGAAGGGAGCAGATGTGAGGAGCTGGCACCCCGGGCCACAACGAGATGAGGACTGAGCAGGGCAGCCGCTCGGGCAGCGCCTAGAGCCTGCCTTCCCCGGCCCAGCTCACAGAATGGGCCCAGATGAGGCTGGTGGTGAGAGCTGGATCCCTGGGCAGCTGGACTAGCCCTGAGCCAGGCCAGGCCAGCCTGGCCTTCACTGAACAGGCTGTTACCAAGCTGGACAGCATCCAGAGGAAGGCGGTCACAGGAGGAAGAGGCCTGGACCCCAGACTGGACACGGCCACAATGCAGGGTCTGGGCTCTCTGTTCACGCAGGTGAAGGGAAAGCCTGGGGGAGGTGCGAGAGGGACATGACAGTTGTCATTGGGCATATGAAGAGCGGGGATCAGCCATGCTCATCTTGACTAGAGGGCAGACCAAGGTCCAGGAAACAGTCCGGCTCAACCCAAGGAAAAACTTTTTGGACAATCAGAGCTGCCTGAAAGTGCAAGTGGCTACCTAGAGAGGTAGTGAGTTCCCCATCCTCGGAGGTATTCAAGAAGAGACTGGATGACCGCTTGTGAGGAATGCATGAGAGTGGATTTCTGTTCAGGTTGATGGCATGTCTCTGAGGTCCTTGATCAGCCCAGATACTCTTTGACTGGTTACTGATCTGGGCTGTTTGCTGCTCTGATAGTGCTGGGCAGCTCTGCCAGTCACTGAAGGAGTGGAGTACAGAGGAGCAGGAGGGTGCCATTGGCCCCAAGGACAAGGACTCTGGCAGTGAGGGAAGATGCCCCAGGGGCTGGAGACTCGGGTGGTCCATGCCAAGCATCTCTCTGCTCCCCCTCCCCATAGATCACTAAAGTGATGAGAAGAAGGAGGGGTCATCCAGCTGAGTGCGGGCAGCCCTCCTGCATGACCTAGGGAGGCAGAGGCCCTGGTGTGTAGGGAGGGGACTCCCATTCTGCTGCTGGGCAGCTCCGGTGTTGGTGAGCTTTTACAAAAACACACTCAGTGCCTACTGTTGCCAGGCAGACCCCATGCCAGGGGCACAAAGACAAAAAGGAAAACCGACCCAGCCTTCAAGGGGCTGGCATTCTAGTGTGTCATGGACTCGCTCAGAGAGAAGCAGAAATAGTAGAGGCAATGTAAGGACAGTCACTTTGAGGAGGGTGGGGAGGCCCAGGAGAGGCCTCATACAGGAGCGGGGACCTGAGCTGGGCCAAGAGAGAGGGAAGTGAGGAGGGAGGGAGGGTGTTCCTGGCATGCAGAATGTCCCGGACAAAGGCCTGGAGATGGGAGAGGATACTGCATCCTTGGAATAGCCAGTAGGCCAGTTGCGCTGGAGCCCAGAATGCATGGAGAGGAGTCCTTTGTAATAAGCCAGGAAAGGCTAGCCTAAGTCTCCATCCCTGGAAAGCTGCCTGGACTCTGCCCTCTGGTGCCAGGGCACCCCCCTTCTCCCCAGGGTTTCCAGGACCCATTGGCCCAGTGACCCTGCTCCCGGCCACCTTCTCTGCTGGCCATGCTGCAGCCAGTGGACACCCATCCTTGGACCCAGTGTGGCCTTCTAGAACTGCTTGGAGAAAGAGGCCTTCCCTGTCTCCCTCCCCAACTGTCCCCCCCCACCTCTGCCTAGGCACATTGCCCTCCCCCTGCTCCTGGCTGGCCCTACCTTCTCTTGGCACTTGGGACACACCCAGACACCCTTGGGTGTGGTTTTGAGTGGGGGTTCGAGGCAGCTGAGGTGGTAGGCCCCCGGGCAGGTGCCACAGGGCTGCAGGTCGGTGCCTCTCTTACATATCACACACACCTCCTCATGGGAGATCTCATTCTGAAAGACAGAGGAAGAGGGGGTGAGGTGGGAGGGGTGGCCGGAGGAGCTGTCAGGCTTATCTGTTTTCTGAGGCCTTGAGGGGCCAGACAGAAAGGAGTCCTGCCCCAGCCCCACCTCGGCCCCACTGCAGACCCCGGTCTCTGAGGGAGGTCACCTGAAAGGAAGGTCTGCCCCCTTATAGGCCTGTGACGGTGGATGCTCAGATGGGAGAAACCAAGGCCCAGAGAGGTCCCGTCGGGAAGGGCAGGGCTGGCCTTTGGTCCCTTATCCAAGGGACATCACCCGTGGGAGCCTTCGTTTCCTCATCTGTGCTGTCTCCCTCCTCCCCAGTTTCTCTGAAAGAGGTTGCAGGCCCACCTGGAGTAAAAATGTGCTCTGGCACTTTCCAGTGGTTGGAACTGGGAAGTCCCTTCTCCCATCTAACTCATGCTGTCCTCGGTCCCTCCAGGCAGAGGCAAAAGCTCTGACACTTACTAGCTGGGGTGACCGTGGGCAAATAATTTTTCTCCCCTGAGCCTCAACGTCCACTTCTGCACAATGGGACTAACAGGGCTTGGATCCTCGGATTGAGCTGGAAAGGTCCTCAAGGACCATCTGAAGCCCACAAGGAGGAGTGGCTTGCCCCAGACCAGGAGGTGGCAGAGTTTGGATTCCCAAACTTCAGGTGCTGGCTGGTGAGAGGTAAGGGCTTGGAAACCTTCACGCATCCTGGAAGTAGGAGCCGAGATCCTTTTGTGGTCTCCGTTGACCAACCGGCACTGAGATCATCCAGGAGAGCTCCTCTGCTTAACAGAGGAGGAAGCTATGACTCAGAATCCCAGGGACTTGTCCAAGGTTAAAGCCAGCCAGCGGCAGGGCCACGATGAGGAACTTGGGCTCTCTCCACCCCCATTACTGATTCCCCAGGAATTCCCCTGCCAATCAACTTGGAGCCTGGGATATTGATGCCTGGCATGCAGAGTCCAAGGCTTTGAAAGGTCCCCAGAATTATAAGGGAGCCCTGCCATGGCCCTGCCTGTCTCCTTACTGAGGCAGGGAAATGGGTACAGGCATTCCAGAGAGACTTGAAAAGACAAAGGCTGAAACACAAAGGGTTTCCTGCTTTTCCACCACTCACCAGAAATACAATACACGGACATAAAATCAGAGCTTCGGAATCTGAGTCATGAGGCACCTCCACTCTAACAGGTCACCTGGCTTCCACACGGACACCTCCTAGGGCTGACACCCAGCCTCTCCCCAACTCCCTGAACATTCCCATTAATCAAGGCTGAACTCTAATGGACTCCTGCCCCCCACCAGATAGGGGCAGCCTAGTTTCCAAATGACAAGCCCCCAAGGTACACCCCTGCAGACACACAGACACTTACACACTCACAGTTATACACATTCACACAGTCACTCATACACACTCACACACAGTCACTCACGCACACTCGCATATACACTCACACACTCACAGTCACTCATGCACACTCACACTTACACATACACTCACACACATTCACACATAGTCACTCACACACACTCACATATACATTCGCGCACACTCACATAGTCACTCATGGACTCACACACTCACACTTACACTTACACATACACACACACTCATACAGTCACTCACATACACTCACACTCACATACACATTCACACACACTCATACAGTCATTCACACACTTACTCATGCACACATATGCTCACACATGTTTTCACACTCACACATGCAAGGGCGATTCATTTTGGGTAGCACATACCTTCCAGCAGGGCTCCTCATTGGCTAATGCATGAAACAAGGGCAGAGAACAGTTAGTGGAGAATGAGGAAGTTCGTGGGCTGGAATTCTCTGGAGGCAGGACTATGAGAGGTCAGCCAAGGCCTGAGCAGGGAGGGGAAGGCAGGGCAGAGGGCACATCTACCTCAGCCCCAGGGCCAGGTGAGAAGCAGTGGTTCAGAGGCATCACAGCAGATGTGGGAGACATTCCAGGGTCTGCTAGCCTGGCCCAAAGGTGGCCAGAATCAGGGGTTGCCCTTCTGGAATGAGACTAACTTGATGGTTGCACTGGCCACCTTAAGCCAAAAGTTCTTGGTCCTCACTGAACTACTGAATGACAAAGCTGGAAGGAACCCTAAGCTCAGCACCTGCCTACCTTTTATCTAATGATAGGGAAACCGAGGCCCAAAGAGGGCAGTGATTTGACTGAAGTCACGAGGTAACAGAGCAGGAATCTGACCCCTTTGCAGTGACCAGTTCAAACAAAACAAGGCCAGTGTAAACTCAGCTCTTGAGGTCCTTCGGCAGTGCGGGCACGGGTTCAAGGTACTACAGGCTCCACCCTGAGCCTCCGTTCTCCCTCCATACATTATCTGGTCTGTTGTACTGACAGGGCTGGGGACAAGGCTGGAAGGGAGAGCAAGGCAAGAATCATGCCTAGTTCGTGGAAATGCCGCTTTAAAGAGCACTGTAAGAAAGTCAGGACATGTGCGTGGCAGTGGGAGCCGGCGAGAAGAGGAGAAGAAGGGGAAATAGTAGAATCAGGAGGTCCCTAGTGACCTTCTCAAATTCTTGCAGTGGTTCAGGGCAGCTGACCACGTGCTGCCAGTGGTCCGGGGGAGCTGACCATGGTGCTGCCGTCTGTCCACTCTGATCAGAGAACAGGCCTCCTCAGGGGCCCTCCCTTCAAGCACGCAGGGACTAGGGGTCAGGGCACTTACCTCTTGTTGACAGGAACAAAGGGCTGTTTAAACAGTTGGATGCCAGGCGTTTCCGCTGCAGAGATGAGAAGGTCTGCATGAGTACCCTTGCCTACTCCAAGAGCTGCCCCCTCTTAAGTTCTTCCCTGCCTCCCCACTCTTCACCTGACTCAATACCTCCCACTCACTGAGAGGCACCCAGGGAGCAAGCTGCCATGATTCATGTCCAGCTCCTAAATTGGGGGCTCTTCCCACTGCTCCAGAAATAAGTTTAGCCCTGACCTTCCTCCCTCCCTACTTGCTGTGAAAAATCTTGGCTGGCAAAGGGCTTGGGCAAACTAAGGATCAGAGTTTGGGCTCTGGACAATCCACAAAGAGACTCTGAGATTTTCAAGAAGTCTTCCCCCCATTTTGCAAAGCACCCCCAGCCTCAGCAGCCAGAGATGGCAGAGTCCTGAGTTAAAGCTAAGCCACCCACTGGCTGGATGATAGCAGCTCCCATTGTGCCTAGTACAGTGGGGTGAGCCTGGTTCTGGGGTCAGGTCTGGGTTCAGATCTCACCTGGCACTCCCTTTAGTAGTGTGTGACCTTGGGCAAGTCATTTAACTGCTAATGTTTCCATTTCTTTCTCTGTAAAGTGAGGGGATGGGACTCAATATCCTCTGCCATCCCTTTCAGCTCTAGAGGTGGGCTCTTGTGATCTCATTTGAGCCCAGAAGCAGCCCTAGGAGGTAGGTGTTATTGTTACAGATGGGAAAACTGGGCATTATATAGTTAAATGTCTTGCAAAGGGTCACAGGCCTCATAATATCAGAGATGAGACGCAAGCCCAGTGTCCTGTCCAGTCCACGTAAGCTGAACTGTTAGGCTTCACCATGCGGAACTGCAGGGAGAAGAAAGACGGCATGTGTCCTTGGCACTACACCCTACCAGACTAGAGAGACAGTGGGATGTGGGGACAGGGAGAGGATTGGAACTCAGGCCTTGTGACTGTCAGGGCTGGGCTATTTCTAGGACACTGCCAGGGTCCTCCCCCTGGCTGCCATCTCCCTGTGCCTCATGCAGAGGCACTCACCTCAGTCTCCAGGAGTCCACTGTATGCTGGGTTCGCCGTACTTCTCCTCTTCCTTTCCTGACGCTTGCTCTGGATTTCTGGAAGGGCAGAAATAGACAATGCCCATCCTGTGATATGGCCTGGCATCATTCCCAAGGGCCAGTGACCCCCTGGCCATACCCATTTCCTTTCCCTAACATAGTCACAACCTCATTTGGGACTTGTGCCTTTGGAAATCAAGGTGTCAGGAAGCAACATCTGGCACGAATTCCCCAGCACATCCTGTGGTCCCAAACTAACCAGGTCATGAGTGGGAGGCAGTCACCAAAGCTCCACTGTGCACAGCTGGAAGGGACCTCAGCCAAGCCAGCTTCTTGCTTGGTGTAGGAATCCTCTCTATAGCACCCTTGACAGGTGGTCAGTCAGCCAGTCTCTACTTGAACCACTCCAGCAACGGAGAGCTACTATATAACAAAGCCACTCAGTCTAATTTTAGATATCTCTGATTGGTGGAAAGTGCTTCCTTTCTGGTTAGCCAAAATTAGCCCCTGCAGCTTCCTCTCACTTACATTACTTACTTACTTCCTCTCATTCTGCCTCCTGGGGCCGAGAACAAGGCCAACCCCTCTTCACTAGCACAACTCTTCCAATTCTTGAATCTTGCACCAAGACTCTAAGTGTCTTGCTACCATTGGCCCATCAAATGAGATACGTGAGATGGTCGTAAAGCACTGAACATAGTGCTGTACATGTGCCTGGCACATAGTAGGTGCTTCATACATGTTCCCCTTTCTTCCCCTTCCCAAAGCCCAGCTCATCATCCCTTCCAACCACAGTCTTATCTCCTTCTTTGCTTTGACCACTCAGCTTCTAGAATTGTCTACACTGGTCTTATCCACTTTCTAACTGCCCACTTTCTTCTGAATCCCTCAGAATCTGGCTTCTAACTTTAGTCTTCCCAAAGGTTGTCAAGATCTCTTTCTATTGGCTTTTCCCCCACTCCTTCATCTTGACAGTGTCAAGCTGATATTGTCATCACTGCTCCTTCCTCCTGCAGGCTCCCCTCCATTGAGTTCATGCTCTAACTCTCCTTCATCCTGTTAATAATCCAGATACATTGACATTCTTACTTTTTCCCAAGCTCCACACTCCTTACCTCACCTCAGCGCATTTGCAGGTTACCTGTGCAGGGCACCCCTTGCCTGGAACAGGCATTTCTCTTTTCCCACCTCTCAGAATTCTCACTTCCATTCACAGCTCAGCTCAGCTCAGGCATCACCTTCTTCAGGAAGCTTTCCTGGGCCCCTAAATGTTAGTGCTGCCTGCACTTTCAGGATGTCTTATGCTGACTTACTGGTGCAGGTGCTACATGCTGCTGTAGAATGTAAACTCCCTGGGTGCAGAAGACGTGTTGTTTTGACCTTCCTATTCCATTATATTCTTAGGGCCCACCATGACATGGTGCCTTGAACCCAGTCAAAATTTAATCAGTCAGATTTTACTTAACCTCATTCTCACACTCATCACAATTATTTCCCTTTGTGTCTGAAATTTCATTTTTTTTAACACAAATGCATTGTTGGTGGAGTTGTGAACTGATCCAACCATTCTAGAGAGCAATTTGGAACTATGACCAAAGGGCTATGAAAATGTGCATACTCTTTGATCCAGCAATACCACTTCTAGATCTGTATCCCAAAGAGATCATAAAAACAGGAAAAGGACCCACATGTACAAAAATATTTATAGCAGCTCTTTTTGTGGTGGACAAAAATTGGAAATTGAGGGGATGCCCATCAGTTGGGGAATGGCTGAACAAATTGTGGTATATGAATGTAATGGAATACTATTGTGCTGTGAAAAATGATGAACAGGCCAACTTCAGAAAAACCTGGAAAGACTTGTATGATCTGATGCTGAGTGAAGTGAGCAGAACCAGGAGAATGTTATACACAGTAATAGCAATATTGTATGATGATCAACTGCAAATGACTTGGCTATTCTCAGCAATCCAAGAGAATTCTGAAGGACCCATGATGAAAAATGCTATCCACCTCCAGAGAGAGATCTGATGGAGTTTGAATGAAGATCAAAGCCAAATTCTTTCACTTTCTTCATTTTTTATGAGTTTTTTGGATCTGTGTTTTCTTTCACAACATGGCTAATGTGGAAGTGTTTTACATGACAGCACATGCATAACCTATATCAAATTGCTTACTGTCTCAGGGATGGGGGAGGGGAAGAAGGGAGAGAGAGAATCTGAAACTCAAAATTAAAAAAAAACAAGGGTGAAAATTGTTTTTACGTGTAACTGGGGAAAAATAAAATATTATTTTTATTTTTTATTAATTTGTTTTTAGTTTTCAACAATCACTCCCATAAACTTTTGAGTTTTAAATTTTTCTCCCCTTCCTTCCCTTCCTCTCTGCCCAAGACAGCATGCAATCTGATATAGATTAGACATATACATTCCTATTAAACATATTTTCACATTAGTCATGTTTGAAGGAATAATTAGAACCAATAGGAGGAACCACCAGAAAGAGGAAACGAAACAATGCTTCAATCTGCATTCAAGCTCCATAGTTCTTTCTCTAGATGTGGATAGCGTTTTCCATCATCAGACCTTTGAAAATGTCTTAGATCCTTGCATTGCTAAGAAGAGATGAGTCTATCAAAGTTAGTCATCACACAACATGGCTGTTAGTGTGTACAACACTCTCCTGGTTCTCCTCACTTCACTCAGCATCAGACCATAGAAGTCTTCCCAGGTTTTTCTGAAGTCTGCCTGCTCATCATTTTTCACAGCACAATAATATTCCATTACATTCATATACCACAACTTGTTCAGTCATTCCCCACCTGATGGGCATCCCCTCAGTTTCCAATTCTTTGCCACCACAGACAGAGCTGCTATAAATATTTTTGTACATGTGGGTCCTTTTCCTGTTTTTATGATCTCTTTGGGATACAGATCTAGAAGTGGTATTGCTGGGTCAAAGGGTATGCACATTTTTATAACCCTTTGGGCATAGTTCCAAATTGCTCTCCAAAATGGTTGGATCAGTTCACAACTCCACTAACAATGCATTAGCATTCCAATTTTCCCACATCTTCTCCAACATAAAATAGTATTTTTAAAAGGAAGGGTATGAAAGGCCTGTAAAGTGGACTTTATGATTACTTTTAAAAGGCAATATTAATAGACTGATTCAAATGCAAAATTTTTGAGTTCCAAATTCGCTCCCCCACTCCAGCTCCTTGCCCACCCCTTGAGAAGGCAAGCAATATGCTATAAATTATGCATGCATCAATTATATACATATATACACGTGTATTTATATATATGAAATTTACTTCTCGAGATGTCCAATGAAGTTCATTCATTCCTGAGGTGACCTTCCAGTCTATTTTTAGCACATGGAACCCTACCTATCCTTTCCCTGAAGCCTGTGAATTATAGGGATAGGGGCTGGACCCACCTCTAGTTTCACTGAGATTGGGGAGAATCTCCCAGCCCTCAGCACCTTCTCTGAGGATTATTGTCTTGGAAAGTTGCCTAGACCTGAGGGGTCAGACTCCACCCTAGCCCTGCTACTGGCAAAACTCCCAAGTTTAGCCAGAACCAGTATAAATGTGATTGGGAAATGTTTACCAAGATAAAAAAAAAAATACAATCAAACCTAGATAATGTTCATCTGTGATTTTCTAAGTCACTGGCCTCAAATCCTGAAGGGTTAGATAACCTGCCCGGGGTCATACAGCCAGTGCGTGTCAAAGGCATGGCTTCCTCTACTACTCTGTCATGAATTAGGAAGTGCAATTTCCCTTTCCCTCCAAGAGTCACATCATTTCTACTTGAACTACCCCTTTCTCCTCGTTGGTGAGCATCAGGTGCCTGGGAACAATTTCTCTTAGCTCTTTCTTCACATTTGTAAGAATTGAGGATTAAGGAGAACACAGAAAATACTGGCTGAGAGACAGACCAAGACAGGGAGAGAGAAATGGAGAGGGACGGATGGAGAGGCCGAGAGAGAGAGAGAGAGAGAGAGAAAGGGGGAGGAGAGAGGGAGCTAATCACAGGGAGAGAAAAAGAGACAGACAGAGAATGAGGGATAGACAGAGAGAGAGCTCTGGCAAATGTCCAGCTGACTGAAGTCCTCCATCACTATTATACCAATCAATCAATCAATGAGCATTTATCAAGAGCAGCATTGTGACCCATTTCCCAAGTTCCAGGATTTCTTCCTAGGGGATCTTTAGTTCACTTCCATAAAAAGATCCCTTCTGTCTCTCCCTTCATTGACCTTCCCTTATACTTTCCTCATACTTTTCCTGATGCCTCCTGGATTCTCTCACCTAAATGTATCTCCTCAACCTACACAGCTACGCTACCACCCATCCCTCCGTGGATTCCCCCTTGACCATGGTGCATCCTCCCAGAGCCATACTCCAGGTCTGGGTCTAGTCCCACCAGGTTTCAAAAGCACTTCCCTCTCACCTTGCTTGTCACTGTGCCTTATGTCATCCTTGGTATGTGGATGTATGAGGCCATGGATGTCATGGGCAACTGCTCTCTGGGACTTTGCCTCCTCTGAATTGCTGAGCATATCTCCCAATGTTCTTCCCCCGTGCTCTCTGCAGCATCTGGCTTGATGGGCAAACATCAGCAGTGACCTGCCTCCCCCCTTCCTTTCCACCTTCACCTTCTGATTAAGTCAGGAAGATGCCAGATAAATGCATTGCTCTCTCTCTGTGATCTCTCCCTGGCCTCTAGCCCAGCAGGGCTAGCATATTTTAAGCCCTCAGTCTGAGTTCAGAACCTGCCTTTGGACACCAGCTGCCGCAATATTCCCCTCTGCCTGAAGATGCCCTCAATGCCTCCAATGGGCAGCAGGGATGGAAATGCCACTTGTGCCCCAGGTGGGCGGGATCTGGCTCCAGCCTTCATAATCTGCTGCCACCCCTCCTGACAGTGTCCACTGTCCTCACATGATTCACCACAAGGGGAGGAGCCATTGGGGATGACCAGCGTTCTCTGTTCACAGTTCTCCTCCCCTCTCTCCAGCCTTCAAGTCTTTGCTCATGCCGTCTCCCATGCTGGGACACTTGGTTTTTCCCCTCAGAGGCTGAGATATATTGTAGCTATTTGTGTTACAGTCTCCTCCTCCTAGATAGAAAACTCCAAGAGGGCAGGGCTGTAGCTCTTCTTAGCTTTCTCTCTCCCCCAGCAGAGGTTTCTGCACACAGTAGGCACTTCATGTTTGTTGGACTACGTTGCACTGTGGGGTTTAGTGACTCACACCCCGCCCCAGGTCCTCAAGCAGGGTCTGGATGACCACCATTCAGGTTGGTTGGAGGAGGGGTTATTTGGGGGCCACAAGTCAGACTGGAAGGCTACTGAGATCTCTTCCAGTTCTAAGGTGTTCTGATTCTGTGTGGGTTGTGAGGACTGGAAGTCAGCTGGCTGAGCCTTCTCATTGCAAAAAGGAGGAAACTGAGTCCTAGAAAGGGTATGGGCTTGCCTGGGGTCCCACCAGCTGCCTGAAGTCTGCCCTGACCCTCGGGGTCATCCTCAGCCTGCCTATCCCACTCAGCCCCTGTCCAGATACAGGAAGTCTTCCCTATCGTGGCCCTGCCCACCAGGACATCTTACCTTCCAGGTGTTCAGCTGTGACCAGGCCTAAGGCCACCATGAAGGCGATTTTCTGAGGGGAAGAAACACACAAAGAAGAATCAGTTTGGCCACATGTTTGGCCATGCGCTCTCATACCCAGACCTTGAAGAAACCCTGTACTGGAGGTGTCTTTGTTTGTTTAGGTGGACACGCGTCCCCAGTTTGAACATTCAAGCTGGGAATCCACAGGTGAGAGGAGGGGAGGAAGGAGGTGGGGGGGCAAGCTGAGTATAGTGCAAGGTGTACAGCAACATGGAGGTGGAAAAGCCCTGGAGAGAGCTGTGGCTCCAGTCTCCACTTCTACTGAAAAGCAGATCAATCAACCAACAAGGACCTTTGAAGCACCTACTATGTGCTGTGCCAGGTATGCTATGCTAAGAGCATCAAAGACAAAAGTCAAAAAGCTTTTGCCCTTAAAGAGCTGATATTGTAACAGCAGACAACGCGAAGGTATGTAAGAATCTGTAAAAAGCAGAAGCCAGGTGGTCTGGGGGGCTGCAGGAGGCACTGTTGGCTGGGGGAGAGGCTGGAAAGGCCCCCCACCATGGTTAGAGGGGGGTTGGCACTGGAGCTGGCTCAATGATTCCAAGTGGTTTGAAGGGAGGGGAGCCTCCCCAGGATGGGGGAGGGGGAGGTGTAGCTGGTACAGAGGCATCACAGTCACTTTGGTTGGACCGGAGCACGGACAAAGCTGAATAATGTTCAAGGAGGCTGTGAAGGGAGGGCTGGCATCGGCTCATGAAGACCACTAGATGCAAAACAGAAGAGTGTCTACGTCATTGCCAGTGGCCTTTACTGAGCAGGGAATGGATGTGGCCAAATCTGAGCTTAGATGGTCTGGAGTGGGGAGAGGCTGGAGCGGCGCAGACCCTCTGCGATAGCATTCCAATAGTGCTGAGGTTGGAAATGAGATTTCGGAGAACGCGGAGAGTATGTGGGGGGTCTATGAGGGTAGACGCCTTTAACAGGGGGTTCCCCAAAATGCAGAACAGGAGACACCAGGAAAGAGAAGGGCCCTTGGGAACACCTTTAATGCCTGACAGAGGAGCACAAATTCCCAAGAGAATCATTATATCAGACACAGCATGATCAGCCAGGAGCTCGACTTCCGGAGGGACCTGGGGTTATCCTCCTGAGAAGCTGCTGTGTGGCCCGGCACACCGCTCGGCGTCTCCGGGTATCAAGGGTCTTCTCTACACAGTAATGACAAGGATGATCCCACTGGCTGGCTCATGGGGTCATTGTGAGGACATGGGGGAAGTGCCAGCAAATCTGGAAGCTCCAGAATGTCCACTAGGGCAGTGGCACCAAGGGCCCACGAGCCAGGCTTGCTCAAAGGCAGCAGCTGGACAGAGTATGTGTCTCCAGCTGAGCAGCATTTCTCCACAGGACCCTGGAGCCATGTTTCTAGCCTTGCCTTTGGAGGGCTCTCCAATTCATTTCTTCTTTAACTGCTCTCAAATCCCAAAGCCACCCCCACCTCAACTCACCTCTCTCAACATCTCTTTCCTTCTCTCTCTCTCTGTCTCTATCTCCCTCTCCCTCCCTGTTTCTCTCCCTCTCTCTGTCTCTGTCTCTTTCTGTCTCTGTCTCTCT